TTTTTTTTTTTTTTGATGCAGTTTCTAACTCAGTAAGTCCAGGGTGGGCCTCAGATTCCATTTTTCTTTCTTTCTGTTCTTTTTGTTTGTTTGTTTGTTTTGAGACAGGGTCCTGCGCTGTCATCCAGGCTGGAGTGCAGTGCCATGATCATGGCTCACTGCAGCCTTGACCTCCCAGGCTCAAACGATCCTCCCACCTCAGCCTCCCAAGTAGTTGGGACTACAGGTGCATGCCACCATGCCTAGCTAATTTTGGGGATATTTTAGGATAAAGATGGGGTCTCATTATGTTACCAGGCTGGTCTCAAACTCCTGGGTTCAAGTGATCCTTCTGCCTTGGACTTCCAAAGTGCTGGGATTACAGGCAAGAGCTACCATGCTCAGTCTTGAGACTATTTTTAACAAGCTCCTGGCTGACACCAGGGCTGTTGGTCCAGGACCGCATGTTAAGAAGCAGGTCCAGGGGTGCACTGCCGCCTAACTGTCTATCAGTTCCTCCCCCAGTTTCAGAATCTCTGGCCCTACCTGGCTTTGCATCTCTGCGCATAGTCACTTCTGTAACTGGACTTCCACTGGTGACTGTGCATTGGTGGCTAGCCATGGTACTTGCCAGGTTCCTGTCCCTGATCTCACCCTTCCCTCCTCATATTTTTGTCTCAGATCAAGAAGTGATGATAGATTAAGGCAAATGGCAGCAAAAAAATCTCAAGAGGCAGCTGGGCACAGCACTGGTGAGCAGGGGAGGTGGCACGCTGCACCTACTGAGTTCTGGGGTGCGAGTTGGAGGCGGGGGTGGCAACTCCAGGCATCTCACCTTCCCACTTTCATGATACACAAACAGGTTCCTGACGTGGCTATCTCTCCTGTAGGTGATCTGCAGCCCGTGTGGGTGCCCTATCTTCTCTGTCTGGAAGGTGGCATTCAAGTCCTTAATGCTGATGACAGCTTTGGGGCTTTTACCCTGAAAGAGAGAAAGAGGATACTCAAGATGCTGACAGTCCACAGGGTAACTTCTGGTCAACCTTCACCAAGGCCTTAACACAAACAAACATCAATTTGTAAATGTATGGGTTTTAAATGTTCTTGCTCTCATATCAAGATTCACAGATACTGGCCAGACGCAGTGGCTCATGCCTGTAATCCCAGCGCTTTGGGAGGCCAAGGCAGGCAGATCAGCTACAGTCAGGAGTTTGAAACCAGCCTGGCCAACTTGGTAAAACCTCTTCTCTACTAAAAATACAAAAATTAGGCCAGGCACAGTGGCTCACATCTATAATCCCAGAACTTTGGGAGGCCGAGACAGGCAGATCATGAGGTCAAGATATCGAGACCATCCTGGCCAATACGGTGAAACCCCGTCTCTACTAAAAATACAAAAATAAGCTGGGCATGGTGGCACTCACCTGTAGTCCCAGCTACTCAGGAGACTGAGGCAGGAGAATTGCTTGAACCCAGGAGGCGGAGGTTGCAGTGAGCTGCACTGCACTCCAGGTTGGGTGACAGAGATAAATTCCATCTCAAAAAAAAAAAAAAAAAGCCTTCATCTCTACAAAAAAAAATTTCTTTTTTTTTAATTAGCCAGGCATGGTGGCATGCATGTGGAGTCCACATACTAGGGAGGCTGAGGAGGCTGACACGGAGGATCTCTTGAGCCCACGAGCTTGAGGTTTCAGTGAGTTCGTACTGCATCACTGCACTCCCGTCTGGGTGACAGAGTGAGACCCTGTCTCTAACCTTAACAAAAAGGACAATCTATCCCTAAAAAGTAAATGCATTATTATGCAAATATGTATGTCAAAAGATATTTATTGTCGTCTTGCTGATAATAGTAAAAAAAAAAAAAGTAAAACTATTTAAATATCCATCAATGATAAAAAGTTAAATAAATCATGATATAGCTACATAAGGAAATACCACAGAATATTTTAAAGAATAATTTAGATCAATATTACTAATATTTTTAAAAGTCCATGAAATTCATGAGTGAAAAATTCCAAGTCCCAGTACTGGAGGTATAGAGGGAACCTATTAACATAAAATTTAGAGCCTGACAAGGTAGCTCACGCCTGTAATCCCAGCGCTTTGGGAGGCTGAGGTGGGTGGTTCACCTGAGGTCAGGAGTTTGAGACCAGCCTGGCCAAGAAGGTGAAACCCCGTCTCTACTAAAAATACAAAAATCAGCTGGGTGTGGTGGCACGCACCTATAATCCCAGCTACTAGTGAGGCTGAGGCAGGAGAATAGGCTTGAACCTGGGAGGCGAAGGTTGCAGTGAGCTGGGATCTTGCCACTGCACTCTAGCCTGGGCAACAGCGCAAGACTCTGTCTCAAAAAATAAAAAAAATTACCTGTTAACATAAAACCTATTAATATAAAATGTACACAGACACATTCACACAAACATGCAAATATATAGACAAGTATGCATTACAGACTCAGATTAGGAATTGACAATAGCTTAAGAAAAACGGGAGCGGAAAAATCTCAAGAGGCAGCTGAGCACAGCACCAGTGAGCAGGGGAGGTGGTGAGTTGGGCCTGCTAAGTCCTAGGGTGCCAAGCCCGAGGCTGAGGTGGCAGCTCCAGGCATCTTACCCTCCCACCTTCCCACTTATTTGAATGTGCATGAAAAGTATAAACAGATTTACACCAACACTCTTAAATTATGTTTTTAGAGACAGGGTCTCACTCTATCACCCAGGCTGGAGTACAGTGGCACAATCATACTCACTGTGACCTCCAACTCCAGCTCAAGCAAGCCTCTTGCATCGCTAGGACTACAGGCTTGTGCCACTATGGCTGCCCAACTTTTTTTGTTGTTGTTAAATAGATGCAGGGTCTCACTATGTTGCCCAGGCTGTTCTCAAACTCCTGACCTCAAGTGATCCCCTCTTGCCTTAGCCTCCCAAAGTGCTGGTAATACAGGCATGAGCCATGGCACCCAGCATGCCCAGGCTACTCTACACTCTTAACAATGGCTTTCTTAGAAGATTGCTGGAAGACTTTTCTTTTTAAAAATCTACTTTGAGGGGCCGGGCGCGGTGGCTCAAGCCTGTAATCCCAGCACTTTGGGAGGCCGAGGCGGGTGGATCACGAGGTCAAGAGATCGAGACCATCCTGGTCAACATGGTGAAACCCCGTCTCTACTAAAAATACAAAAAATCAGCTGGGCATGGTGGCGCGTGCCTGTA